CCCTGACAATGGGGGGAGGGGGATTCATAAATAGAGGTATTTCAGCCAGGTCCATTTATATGTATGAAATCACTATGAATGCATGTCTGGTTGCTAGACAGCTGTCATGTACCGAACAGGCCTATCCATAATATTTTGTAGAATGGGGAGTAGGATTACAAGATTTTCTGGCCCACATGAAACTATTGGGAAAAAACAGTGATTTAAAAAGGCACACTTTAGGTATGCCTAGGTGAGGCACATTTTAGGGTATGCAACTCACCCAAGTTCTAGGTGTAGCCCTTTCAAAAGGCATGCACCTGATGTGCCTCAGACTAAGTGTGTGTCTTTTGAAAATTTCATGCTTTTTTGCTTTTTTTAAAGGGTTTCTAGCCGATAAGGGCAACTTTTTGCTCTGAATATCAATAAAAGATAATAATTTTATAAAATAACAAAAATAAGGTAACGTTTTTTGGAAAATATCAAGGAAGCGCATGACATTGTTCATCGCCTTCCTCTTCATTCTTTGCTCTCTCAGTCTCTCGCACTCAGAAACCCAAACAAAAAAGAGCGGAAACACAACTACGGTGCCCTTTCTTTCTGTCTCACTCTCTCAGTGACGGTAAGAGATGATGTACAGTGTCAGCGCCATTGTAGCGATAAAGAGGTGTCGCTCTCTCAGTCTCGCTCTTAGYGATTGAGAGATGATGTACAGTGCCGGGAAATGGCGTACAACAAATAAAGAGGCGGTAAGAACCCCAAGAACCACTCTTCCTCTGTATAGCAGTAAGAGAATGATGTATAGCGAATAAAGAGGTGTCGCTCTCTCAGCGACGGTAAGAGATGATGTGTTTCTGAACACACCATATGTCGATCGAGCACAACGAATAAAGAGCCGTTAGTGCGTCCTTTTTCTCGTGAGAACCGTCGTTCTCCAATAGGTGTACTAGAAATGGGCTGACGCCATTTCCTGCGAGAACCGCCGTTAATGCACCCTTCATCGAGGTTTCAAATCCGGTGTATTCGGATGAATACAGAGGAAGAGGACGGCGACAAATAGTATCATTGCCCTTCCTTGATACTTTCCAAAAAAAGTTGCCTTATTTTTGTTATTTTATAAAATTATTATCTTTTGTTGATATTCAGGGCAAAAAGTTGCCCTTATCTGCTAGAAACCCTTTTTTAAACCTAGCGGTTGGCCGGGGTCTCCGCCCTTGGACCCCCCCGTACCTCACTCCTCAAAGCAAGCCCAAACAAGTCCATGTTAGGGTTTTAATTTCTTTGTTTTCGCGCAAATAATAATGATTTTATAATTTTAATTGCTTTTTTAAGAAGGTATTTTATTAGGATACCATATTTGCTAATGTTGTTCATTCATTCATCCTAATAAAATATTTTCTTAAAAAGCAATTAAAATTACAAAATCATTATTGTGTGAGAACTAAGAATTTAAGACCCTAACATGGACTTGTTTGCGCTTGCCTCAAGGGGTGTGGCACAAAGGCGGCTCGTAGAATCAGGAATGTAATATGTTTTATGTCACATTAGCTACTTGAAGTAATGCAATTGAGGCAAAAAAGGGATTGTGGATTTTACATACTTGAAAATGTTTTATATGTTCGATTTTATTTTTAAATTTTCATTTGAATCTGCTTTACATGTTATGTTTATGTATTTTAATTTTAGATAATAGTTTTTTAAACATTTATTTTCAAATTTAAGTTTATATTTTTTATAAATATTATGTTTAACATTTCGGACATTTGTTTTTTTAAACATTTATATTTTTTTCGAATTTTTTTAATTTTCGGACATTTGTTTTTTATTTTTTTAGCTTTTGTTTTGTATTTTTTGCACCTTGCTTCAAAAAGGCATGTAGAGAACATTAGTGTGGTCCCCACTGGTCGTTGGTCTATGTTTATCTTTATATTTATTCAGTTCAGCAGTTAACGGTTATTTCAGTTTGTTTTATTAGTCTTATTTTATTTATTTGCCATGTAAGCAGTAATGGTAATTCAGCCCTTTCATCTTTATTTAAACATTAATATAAATTGTAGAGTGGGGCAACAATCTTAGTCAACACTCTATTTCTGAATTCTCCTCTTCTCTTCGTCTCCCTCTCTCTCTTCTCAATCTTTTCATTTTGATTATTTCATAATGAACCTAGGACTGATTGCAGTCCTATTCGACTACTTGGTATCAGAGCCAACCTAGGAATTCTTATGCTAGTCTAATAAGGCCGACTACATGAGAAGTTCCTAGGGTTGGAAGTTTCAGCAGAGATATGTTCATCGGCTGGTTCTTGGATGTTGCTGGCAGTGTGCAATTGATGCTCGAGGGTTTGTAGAACCCTGGAGTTCAGCGATTAGGAAAGAATCAAAAGAAGGGAAGAAATCTCAGTCTTTAGGGTTCTGACCTTGGATTGAGGGTGGCAGCAGAATTTTTCTGGGTAAGCTAGTATCTTGAGATTGAACCTAAAAATGTATTCTTTTATCAGTCTGGGAGGTGCGATTGGAAGTTTTTGAATTTTCTCCTCAATTTTTAGGGTTTCTTTCTGACCTATGATCATTCTTTGGGTTTCTAGGACTGAAATCCTAAAGATTTTGTTTGTTGCCAATTCTAGGGCAATATTTAGAACAATTTCAGCATTCAAGAGTGGGTTGTACTGCTCTTTGGAGAATTAACAAATCTGTTTTCTCCTTTCTGGGTGGTGGCTGAACCTTCTAGGTCTTCTGTTGAGTAAAATCTGGGTGTAATTTCACCTATTTGAGTCCTAAAAGTTCTGTTTTGACCTATAAACTGAGAAGGGCTGGCAACAATGGAGTTTAAGAACCAAGGGGAAAGTTTTTTGGGGGCTGGTGGTTCTGGTAGCATGCCTGAGAACAGTTTTCAGATTACCACTGTCAAGTTTGACGGATCCAATTACTTGGAGTGGGCCCAATCAGCCATGATGGCCATTGGGGGTAGAGAGAAACTGAATTATTTGTTGGGGTATGTGAAGGAACCAACCAAGGAGGACCAAAACCTATGCCAAATGGGTTCAGGAGAACTATTTGGTTATGACATGGCTGTGCAACTCCATACAGCCACACGTAAGCCGAAACTATTTGTGGGACAGAAACAGCTAAGGATTTGAGGTAAGCAACTCCTTCATCAAGAATTTGAGGTAAAAGACTTGGGAGAGTTATGATACTTCTTGGGTATTGAGGTAGCTCGGTCCAAGCATGGGATTTTTGTTTCTTAGAGAAAGTATGTTCTTGATTTGTTGGAAGAAATAGAAAAGTTGGGTGTTAAGCCTACTGACACACCTATTGAATATAATCACAAGATTAGTGCAGAAGGCGGAGAACCCCTTGAAGATAAAGCTATGTTCCAACGATTAGTTGGAGAGCTTCTCTATCTTTGTCTCACTCGACCAGACATCAGTTATGCAGTTAGTGTAGTCAGTCAATATATGCACTCTCCCAGAACTATTCACTTACTTTCCGTTGAGAGGATATTGGCATATTTGAAGAGGTGTCCAGGCAGGGGTATTCTATTCAAGGATAATGGTCACATGAAAATAGAAGTTTACACAGATGCAGATCGGGCTGGGTGTGTTGATGATAGGAGGTCTACCTCTAGATATTGTGCCTTTGTAGGAGGTAATCTTGTTTCTTGGAGGAGTAAGAAACAAAGTGTTGTTGCTCGCTCTAGTGCTGAAGTTGAATACAGGTCCATGGAAAATAGTGTGGCTGAAATTCTATGTTCAAATCATTATTTGAGGAGTTGGGTATCACTTATGAGAAACCCCTAATGCTTTACTGTGATAATCAAGCTGCTATTAATATAGCCCATAATCTGGTACAACATGACAGAACCAAGCATATTGAAGTGGACCGACACTTTATTGGAGAAAGGGTTGCTTCTCAAGAAGTGTGTCTTCCATATATCACCTCCAACATGCAGCTTGCAGATCTTCTCACCAAGGTTGTTTCAAAGACAAAGTTAGAAGCAGATCTATGCAAGTTGGGAATGACAAACATCTATTCCCAACTTGAGGGGGAGTGTAGAGAACATTAGTGTGGTCCCCACTGGTCGTTGGTCTATGTTTATCTTTATATTTATTCAGTTCAGCAGTTAACAGTTATTTCAGTTTGTTTTATTAGTCCTTTTATTTTATTTATTTGCCATGTAAGCAGTAAGGGTAATTCAGCCCTTTAATCTTTATTTAAACATTAATATAAATTGTAGAGTGGGGCGACAATCTTAGTCACACTCTATTTCTGAATTCTCCTCTTCTTGTCCTCTTCTCTCGTCTCCCTCTCTCTTTTGTCAATCTTTTTATTTTGGTTATTTCATATTGAACCTAGGGCTGATTGCAGTCCTATTCGACCACTAGGCGCACATCTCACCTTGCACCTTGCGCCTCGGGCACAAATTGACCCCTGCACCTTTTTTGTGCCTTGCGCTTTTAAAACACTGGGCGAAAAGATGGACCATTTTGGTAAACGAACGAATGTAGATTCTTTCATAGTGTGACCTTTATCTTGCCTTAGCACGTAAGATTTGCTCCTTGCAGGACCTGGTTGGACAAAAATATAGGACTTATTTGACAGGCATTTAAATTTTTGACTGAAATGCTTCGCATGATTGGTTGTGTGCAATGATACCTCAATATGGTGCATAGCAGCAACAAGAATGTAAATAAATAAAACCTCATAATAGTTATTGTGCATGGGTCTTTTTGCTTGAATGTCTGTGCAGAATATGTGATGTTGAGCTTAAGGCCGTGAATATGGGCTGGCCTAGAATTTGAATCTCCTAATTGATGATCCTCTGTGGGTTTGACTGTTTTTGTTAGTTCTGCATTGCGACAGGAAGCTAGTCTATTGCTCTTTACCATCATAGTAGGGATGTATCTTTGGTTTTCTTTTATCTCCTCTCTTTTATGTGAGTTTAAGCCAGTTTATCAACATATTCTGAGCTTCAATTTTTTTATTTATCTTGTATAATGTTCATGAGCTACTTGTTATATGCAGGTGAGACAGGGAGGATGTATGAAGCTAATGTTGATGATGTGGGGTACAGGCTTGTGGCAATTTATACTCCTGTGAGAGAGGATGGAGTTGAAGGGCAATATGTTTCTGCATCTACGGAGCCAATAGCTGTTGGTAAATTCCAAACTCCATCTTGCCACTGTTGTTTAGATGTCAGCTGTCTATATTAGATATTTTAGCTGCTTCTGTGATTAAACAAATTATGGCCTCTACTTGATTTCCTTTGATCAGTCATTTGGTCTTGCCAGTTGCTACTCATGATTGGTTGTGATTGCTTAGCATATTAATCATTGATATTTGATTGTGTATGCATAGATTCTTCATTAAGTAACTATCAATTTTATGTTCTGTTTAAACTTCTATTTTGTGTTCTGGATAACTAAGCTACCGCATATGTTGGTCCAATTTCCTTAACTTGTGTTCCATATAGAGTGATTTGTTTATTTGTTGAACCTGTCTTCTTGATGTGGCTTTTCTTATATATAAAGTTAATAGAATTTTATTAAAACAAAAGAGAGAGATTGAGGAGTGCAATTAGACATTCGAATCTAGGGCTTTATTTTGTTTTATGCAAATTCATTTAGCTGGTTACAAATTTCACTTTTATAGCTCAGCCCCTACTACAATAATAATGATTTTTAAATTGTCATGAATGACACCTCTGATATGCAAAGACCCATCATTGTCAAAATCAAAGAAAATTTCTGTTTTCTCCTGCATTCTTTACAATTGTCAGTGTATGTTACCTTAATTGCCATGTTGTCCTTGTACCTTACTTATCAGTGTAAAACTGTCAATTGCTCAGTTGCTTAGAAAAATCTGTGTGTTTGTGCACATGCACACACATGAACGTGTATTTTTCGTCTTAATATTTAGGCTGTGGTTGTTGATCTGTTTGCAGAGCCTGATGTCCTCAAAGAAGTAAAGCAAAAGCTGGATCTTGGAGCTGTCAAGTTTGAGGTGTGATTGTTTTCCTTTTTATTTTCTTTTTTTTAGCTTAGAACCCTTTTTTGTGTGCATGCAGGGAGAAAAGAACTGTGTATTAAACATTCTGATATTTTCATGAAGTACATATACACCAATTTTATATATTTCCTGTTTTTCATTTTTAGTAAGAAAATTATTTCCTAGAACTATGCATCCAATACATGTTTATCCAGAACCAAATATAAGACCACTGTCTTGTAAGATACGAACCCCCAATACAAGTTTTTTCTATTTGGCTTCTCTACCTATTTGGATTCACCACATTAGTTTTTGGGATTCCCAGTTCTTATAAATGTTGTCCTGGTCCAAGCTACCAAAAAAACATTTGTTAGCAGGTCTTATAGCTTATGAATATTTACTATTTTAAGACTATTTGTATGTAAAATAGCTTTAACAGATGGTTTGGAACCATTGCTACTCACCCAATTTACATTGTTCTCCAGACCCAAATATAAGACCATTATCCTGTACGATATGAATCCCCAATACAAGTTATTTTTTTTCCTTTTATGAAGGTGATGTAATATTGTATTAAAGAGTGAATGTGCAATGGAATTCTGTACAATAAATCCACAAGTACTCAAGTATCCTCAAGAAAGTTTACAGCCAATAAGGAAGATGAGAAGTCATTCTCCTAGAAAAGAGCTGAGGTTGATAACCGTTGCTTAAAAGCCTCAGTAATACCATTAATCACTCTTTCCACAAGGCTACTCTTCTGCTCAAAAACATGAGAATTAATTTCCAGGCAGATATACCAAAAAACTGGCAAGGGATAGTAGACCAAAATTCTACCTTTCCTGTCCGTGCCAGCTACTTCCCATCCCTTTAATAAAGCCTGAACAGATTCTGAGAGCATGCATCCCTTGTACGAAATGGCCTTGTAAAAGAAAACCCAAATCTTATGAGTGAAGGTACAGTGGAGGAAAAGGTGGTTTGAATACTGTTCCTCCACCATGAATACGGGACAAAAGGAATCTTACAGGTTTTGTCTGTTTGCTTCTTCTCTACCTGGCTTGCTTTTATTTTTTCCTTTGAATAGAGCAATGCATGTTGGAATTGGATCAGACTGGATAATCGGATTATTTGGATCCGCCAAATCAGGTTTTAGGATTCCCTGTTTTTAGAAAGGTTGACTTGGTCAAAGCTACCCAAAAAAAATTTGTTAGTAGGTGTTATGCTTATGAATATTTATTGTTTTGAGACTATTTTGATGTAAAATTGCTTTAAGAGATGGTGGACCATCTCTTAAATGTTTTGAGACTATTTGTGTTAGGTGTTATGACTACTTATTGTTTTGAGACTATTTAATTTTCATATTTCCTAGTTTATATATATATATATATACAACAAATAATATTTTTAATTTCTTTATACATTTTCAGATACAATGTTTTTCTTTCATAGTTAATTTGTATACTTTCTATTAAACTATACTATTTTTAATTTGTATACTTTCAAGACCCCTCCTGCCCAGTGAACTGAATTCGGAGAGCTTGGATAATTTGTTTATCCACTCCTGGTGGTGTACGATATCTGATTACACTTTTTACGAGCTACAAATCTCTCTCAGGTGCCTCCTAGGAACCTGAGGGAGCTCCTTTCTAGTTGGTGACCTCTGAGTTCAAGTTCAGTGGATAAACAAAACTGGAGTCTGATTCCTGCAGCTGTGGTTTAGACAGTTTGGACTGAAAGAAAAAAGATAATCTTCCAGAGGAACATCAGCAGGTTGATGAGCTGGTCAGAGCTGCTGTTGGAATATTGGTCTCCTGCACTGCAGTTGCCAGGGATCCTTTCAGCAGCCCATTTCTAATTTCTTGCAATCTGTAAATCTGCAGTATATTTGATTTATAGTGGTTTGTGGGAACGGGTTCACTGGTTGTAACTCCATTCTCATGTATTGTGCTATTTTCATTATATTCTTATGTTATTTTATGATTTTTTTTATTAAGTTGGAACTGTGACTAATGTTCAAATTGATGGGTCCCACTATGGTCTGTCATGGGTGAACATGTGAATGGAGATGCCATTCTAACATGTACATTAAGAGAATCTTTTCGGGTTAAAAGAGATACTATGAGATACTTTTGAGTTTAAAATGTTTTGTTTTATTTTTGGTTGATTAGTTTATACTAAAATATTCTTTTTTTTTCCAGTTTTAACGCTTTTTATATGAGGCATATGCTTCACAAATTTGAAGTGCAAAGTGGTCAGGTATATGCCTCTCAAAAATTGAGGCGGTAGTTTCTAGGATAGGGGTAAGGCGCCTGGGGTTAGGCATTTTGGCTCCACCTCACCTCACCTTTTAAAACCATGGTCCATTCCAAGTCTGACAACATTGGGAAAGTAGGTAAAAAAATATAATGACTTTGGTGCTAAGGTACTTATGTTATAGGAGTTAATTTAATTAGTTCATGAAGTCAACTTTTTTTCTGCCATTGAAATTTGAGATGAGAAAGTTCTCATTCATTTGAGTTAGTGGTTCAATTAAAAGTTCATAATCAATTAATATTGCCGACTTTCCTGCAAAGAATAATTTCTGATCTTGTTGGAGAGTGTAAGTTAATTAATAGGCATTCAATAAAAGAAAAGATTAAAGATTATTTATTTATCAAAAAAAAGATTAAAAGATTATTTTAATTTTCTGATTGTTGCTTTTACTGGAAGCAGGCTTTGTGTGACAAGGACCGTTCTCCAAAAAAGGTGCTCATCTTTTTATTTACATGAACTTTTCATTTCTTTCCCTGTTTCTCTTGTCTTAATAAATTAATTTGTCTTAGTATTACCTACAATTAGAAAAGTAAAGCTTAAACCTTCATCATTGCAGGTTCCTGGAGCTGGAAGTCTGGAAAGAAGAATTCTAGAAGTTAACAGAAAGAGAGTAAAGGTTGTGAAGCCTGGTTCAAAGACTTCCTTCCCAACTACTGAAATCCGTGGAAGTTATTCTCCTCCTTTTCATGTAAGTCTTTCCTCCAAGTCAGGATTCTTCAACTTTTCCTAAGGTCAACGCCATTTGAGGGGTTGGAGGATCAATGCCACATTTCATTCCATTTGTGGGACATGGAGTGCCAATGGCCCCTACTGTTTCCACATAAATTAGGAAAGAGGTCTGAGGTGTTCTTTGTCCAAGAGGATGAACTATCTGGTTAAGTTGTAGCTTTAGGAGGAGTTGCCTACCAGTAATTCAGTGGAAAAACTATGAAACACCTATTAATTTGATTCAGCTGTCCTTTTTCAGAAATTCCGTTCCCAAACCATAACAAATAATACTGATCATTTGATTGCAAGGCTCTGTCAAGGACAATTTTGTCATATTTGCTTTCTTCCGTTACAAAATGTGGCAAATAATTCAATGAGTGCAATCAGTTAACCAACCTGTTCTTTGGGATGGGATAAATCAGCAGATTAATTGACAATTACCTGGTGTATGTGGTAGTACAAGATTGGTAGTCCATGTAGTATTTTAGAAAAATGTTTTTTCCAACATTGACTCTTTATGCCATCTGTAGAATTTTTTGTATGAGTTGATACAAGAATAATATCTTAGCTTCTTTATACTCTGTATTTGTAATACTTTAGATTTAGCAGAAATTGTTAGTAATAAAGTAAAATCATCACCATAATATTTAAAAAAATGTATATATGAATCTCTTATGTTGGATAGTCTTCCAAAAATCTATCCGTTATGAATCTATACTGTCATACTGATGTTAAAAGCATGAATGCTTCTTAAACTGCTTTTGTTCCTAACAAGACTAGTCTTATTGCCATCTATCTTAATCCCTGGATACAAGTTCTCATTATTGGATACTCTCTTAATCTCTTATTGTGATTGATTGGATGAAGAAGATACCTAGTGGGCTTTAGAGGTTAAACTATGAAGTAAAGGATATGTGTTATGGTCAATTGTTATGGTCCCGCACGTAGGATCCCGTCACGGGTCGGTCCACGGTGCGAAAGCCCTGCTTCCCCTTGCGCCTTCCCTTGCTTGCAGACCCGATTACGGAAACTGAATGGGTGATTTGTCCAAGAGACCACCCTTATCTGGACACATCAAGCCAACTCGCCGCCAGCTTACCTTATCCTTATCTTATCCC